TTGAGCACCTCCAGGGATGGAGCCACACCCATCCTGGCTCAAAAGACCAGCTCCCTTCACTCTGGACTGCCTTGGTAATTCCTACTAGGAGGTCTGCATTTCCAAAGTACAACTATTACCGTTTCACAGTTAACAGTACCTGATATTTCCATTTAATAATATATTTTGGAAATCACTTTTTCACTTCTTAGGGATCTTTCTTATTTTATTTTCATAGCTGCATAGTACTCCAAGTTTATGGTACATGTGAATGTACCAGTTTATTCAACCACTCCCCTATGTATGGGCATTCCAATATTTTGCAGTTGTAAACAATATGACAATAAAGAAGCTTATGAGTTGTGGTACTCTGAAGCACACAAGTTTGTATATGAGTGCTTCATTTGAAAAAGCATCCAGTTTCAGCCCTGGCTGGTGTGGCTCGGTGGACTGAGTGCCAGCCTGCGAACCAAAGGGTTGCAGGTTCGATTCCTAGTCAGGGCACATGCCTGGGTTGCAGGCAGGGTCCCCAGTGTGGGGTGTGTGAGAGGCAACCACACATTGATATTTCTCTCTCTCTTTGTCTCCCTCCCATTCCTTCTCTAAAAATAAATAAATAAAATCTTTAAAAAAAATAAAAGAATCCAATTCTAAATTACTTCTAATGTATTCTCTAGAACCTGAGAACTTCTGAAGAGAAAGAAATATATTTTCTTCATAAAAGTCATGTCAAAAGTGCAGTAAATTTTAGACTAGTAAATTTAACATGGTATTATTAACTTTGAATACATTCTTTCATCTTTTAATATTAAATCATTATCTTTTAAAAACATGATGCCAGGTTCTGAAGAGATGTCAGTTAAACACCATTAGTTTGGAAAGCTATTAGATTTTGCTTAAGAAACTTAGTAATAATAAGGATAATTATTTTATGTGATTTGTTTTCTTTTTTAAATTGAAGAATTAAGAGGAAGTGTCTTTTCTGTGGTGCACTATTATATCTCACCACTTTAATTTTTTTAAAAAGCTTTCAGTTGAGACTTTTCTTGATTGGTCATAATCCTTATCCTGTAGAAGATTTTCCTCCATCCAGTATTTAAGAGGATCACTGTCCTTGCATCTGGCCCTTGATATGCTTGTTCTTTCTGTAGCACCTTGTTATGTTAGATCAGTGAAGAGTACCTTCTCCTGTTGATTGTATAAGAACAAAGCCAGACGATGGCCAAGTAATGTATATTTGTAAGATTTGATTTACTATGGAAAGTCTAGTAGGATTTTTACCTGCTTTGGGGTTTATCAACCCTTAATTGGCAAGATGTGATTAATAATGCTTAAATGACAAAATAACATTTTTGACAAGCAAAATGTATTGTATAATCTCAAAAATATAAGTTACTTAATGGGTATAAAGTTTAGGTCAAGTGTACTTAATTCTGGCACTACCTTAAGGTTTCACATCATTGACAGACGGGTTGTAAGCTCTTTTTTTTGTTTCCTTTGTTCTTTGCAACAAAAGTATTTTGGAATAAAATGGCCATTTTTACCCTATAGTTCACAAATGAACACGATGGGCATTCACCTGCAGTAGGATGGTTTTCACAGCACAATATCTGAGTCCTAGTGATGGAGGACAATGGTCAGAGTGTTGTAGTTTAGAGATGAATATGTCCTAGACACACCTTATGAACATGGTTTAGTTCTCTCTTGGAATAATGGGTTGGTTTTTTTTTTTTCTTAAATGGCTTTTTAGCTTAAATACATATATATTTTAGCAACTTGCCAGGATATATGTATATATTATTTACACTGAATACATCTATTATTTACACAATAATATATAAGGTATATTACCTAATTATATATATTATTATATATTATATATATTATTTCCACTGAAGTATAAAGTAACCAGGGGGCAGTTTGGCGTTAATATTGGTTGCACATTTGAAGTAGAGATATGGGACTGAACAGTAGAGTCAAAACTTAACTCTAGATTTATTTTTTATTGCAAATGAAAAATGAACAAGCAAAGGCATGATCTTCTCCTGATTTCATATGATTTTAGAACAGACTCACGTTGGAAAAAAGAGTTAATGATGTTTAGATCTATAACGACCACCCCCACCCCCCACCTTCCCACCCCCCTGCCCCAAATCCGTGTTTCCACCTTTCCACCTCTCGGCCAATATTATTAAAGTGTTAAATTATAGAAGCACCTTAGGGACCTATGATTTTTTCCCGAGAGGGTTATATGGTTTCTCAGCAAAACAAAGGAAACAAAGCAGTACGGTTTCTCTTTTTTCCAGTATTCTTTCCTGCTTTTTCACTGAACTTAAAGGTATGTGGACTTTCTCTTTACCACCTTCTGCTTCAGCTTGACAAGGCAACTCTCATTAAGAAATTGGGAGTAATAGAACTGTGGAAGGTCATAATAAGAAAGGCACTTCTTTTTCAAAGATGCATTTAAACTTGATTGCCTCTGAGGCTGGTAGAGAAAAAAGAGGCAAAAGAGAGCCACTGAGTGTTAACTCTGAATATATATTGCCACATTAATGTGTTGTAGTTAAGAGTGGAAGAAAATTGGTATTCTTTTGTTGCAGTGTGGACTGAAATAAAAATGAAAGCCCCCCCCCCCCCCCCCCCCCCCAAAAAAAATGAGCATAAAAGGGCTTTAGGAATCTGAAAAAAAGAAACCTTCACACTTGAAATTTGGGATGAGTGGTTTTTAAGTATTTTCATCAAGATAATGCTGATTGTGTTTATCAGCATAATGCTGAAAATGGTCCAATCTTCTGGTCTTATAAAGGAGTTTTTTTCCTTCTCGGCTCTCCATTGATGTGGCAGAGGAGACAGGTTTCTTGTTTTTACAATCTTTAAAATTCCAGGAAAGAATTTAAATGTATAATTCAAGTGATCCAGATTATTAAAAAAGGTGTGAGTAGAGAAGTTCTCATGGATGATGATCAGTAACTGGCTCAGACGGGCCCTTCAGGGGTTTGGTTTCAGAGCAATGCCAGCCCGCAGAATTCCCCGCGTTAGCAAAAACAACTACATGGTCACATCGTGTTCCACGTCTTGTCAAATGCTCTGCTGACTGCGCTTTCAAACTATTTTTAAAATATGACATCTGTTTTCACATTATTTTATATTGAGACACAGAAGTGTGTGTATGTGTGTGCAGTATATGTGTGTGTTGGAATATTTAGCAATTAATATGCATTAAGGAAAATGTATGTATTATAAATAAAGTTGCTTATCAAGCATTAACATTGTTTATCTAAACACATTTTCAAAGGCTTAAATCAAAATTACTTTTAATTCTTTTGGACAAATGGCAATGGAGGTTTTGTTAAAGGTTATTGAGCGGTTTTTGTGACTTTGAAAATAGCCGAATCAGCTGGGAGGGGGCAGCAAGGGAATGACTTAATTGATCACCTGCACAGCAGGTATTTCTCTTTACCAAGTGTGTTCCTGGTGGGGTTTGACTAACCTGCCAATTATCCCAGTGACCTGTCATATTTAGCAAGTATAGAAGCTAAGGTCACAGACAGTGTGAGATTAAAATAGCTTGGCTCTCTACTGTGATTTCTTTTAATGAACACTTTCTGGTCAAGTTACTACTATATTACCCATTTGAATGTTCTCCGTCAGTGTCCATGTGTGTGTCTGTTATTTCTTAATGGTTTTTGTGAAGTGTCTGCCGGCTAGTGCCTCTGAATAAACCTCTTAATCTGCTACTGAATAAAAGTAGAGACAAACTTTTGAGCTAGAATTTAAACTAAACACTTTTCTTGCTTTGATAATTTGCTAGTGTACTTAGGGATAAAAGTAGAAAAAAATCCTTATTCTACATTATGCACGATATAATCAGCTCAACAAAATTCAACTGTCTGGTGGTAGGGGCATCCTAAGATAAGAGGAAGGGATTAAAGTTTGAGTCAGTTTGCCCGCGTTTCCCTTGGTGACCTGTGCCTCGGAGTGATCAAGGACAGACATCTGGACCTGATGGTGTTTCTGTGGGACCCAGTTCCTGAGGCCTCCATAGAGTGAGCAACATGCCAGGGTGTGTGATTCTGAGGTTTAAGGGTAAACATAATTTAACCATGATGAAGCCAACCACTTCATCTGATGCTCAAGTTAAGAAACAATATCTATTTCAGTCCTGGAGAAATACCTCGCTGTGTAGGGCTAGTCCCCTGCAGGACTTTCTGTAGGCATTTTTAAGGATAATTTTGTCTATATGTGATGTTTTTCTTTTATGCTGATATCTGATTCCAATCCTGAGGTCAGATGTGGTTTACATGCCTGAATGGGAGCCTCTTCCCAGCACAGCCTCTGCGGTATTTGACAGAGGAGCTGAAGGAGGAGGCAAACTCGAGATTATCTAATGTGCACCTTCCTCTACTCCTTCTCCAGGCGCCTTTTTGGAAAGGCTTTGTGTGACTGGCATGGGTTCCATCCCATCCCTCAGCAATATCTTGTTGCAGAGATGGTGATCACCATTAAATCAAACCTCAAAGCAGTGTAACATCCTGAAAGGAGCTTAGTTAAAGGAGCCGGACAAATCTGGGTTTCAAACTCATGGGGCCTAAATGATTTTTCTAAGCCTCAGTTTCCTCATCCATAAAATACAGATAATAATATCTATTTCAGGGTGTTGTCATGGAATTAAATAAAGTAATATATGTAGAATGTTTAACAAAGTGCTTGGCACATTGTAGGTGCCTAGTAATTGACACTATTAGCATAATATTCATGAGCTATTTATTAAGCCCTGACTATATATAATAATCCTAGGTTTGCTGGGGGTTAAAGAAAGGTGTAACCCCCTGATTCCAGAGCTGTTGACCTGGTAAAAATAGGAACTCACATGTGAAGAAGTTGAATTAACTACAGAAGGAAAATGTTACAGACAAGATATACTCCAGAGCTCCTCAAGGTCCCTGTTCATGGTGAATCAAGGAATGTGTGCCAGAATGTGAATCAATGAACTGCATCCTCCAGGGAGACAGTCTTGTTATGAAGTAAATGTCAGGTAAACTACCCAACCTACTTAGTGAAGCAGTTGATTTCCATTCTGGCACCTTCCTTGGTCCACACTTGGAGGATCCCTGCTCCTGGAATCTATAATATCTACCACTTGGGGGAGCCTCTTCTCTTTGTGTTTGACACTATTGTAGATCTTTCATCGGCAATCTGGTATAATGTTAGTACAAAATAGAGTTTGTTAAATTGATGTCGTACACTTTTTGTTCCATTAAATGCAGTAATAACCCAGGATATACCACACTGCTTCCAGCCTCATGCTTGCAGATGAGCATCTTCTGCAGCCAGAAGCTGTTGTTTTTCATCACCATGATCAGTGGAGGAGGTAGCAGGGGGTTCTCCCTGTCTCTTTGCAGGGGTTCTTAATTGTATTTTTTGTGTCATGGACCCCTTTGGCCAGCTGTTTTATCTGTGGACCGTTTCTTAGAATGATGTTTTTAATCATATAAAGTAAAATTTGTAAGGTTACAAAGGAAACCAATTATATTGAAATATACTTATCAAAGTGTTAAAAACAAGTTGTGATAGTAATATGTGTTTTATTATTAACATATATATAACAAAATCTAACATCGAATCTAAAAACTACCATTATTTTGAAGAAGTGATTAGCACAAATAACACTTGGACATATCTACAACTCTGATGGGTTATGAAAACATCTGTGTTTTCATAAGTAAAAAAGCCACATGTTGTGGTTTGTTGGTTGCATTATAATAGTAGGAAATGACAGAATTTCAGTTAGAGGTTAGTGAAAATAAATATGTATTCTTTACTCATCCAAGTTCAAGCCCCCCCTGCATTCACTCTCTGGTTAAGGACCTCTGCCTTGGGAATATGAAACTGAGAAAAAGGGGAGTTCTGAACCTTTGTATTACTTTTCCTGGGACAGATATTTTGGGTTTGTAATAAAATCCAATTACAATTTCAGTCCCTGGTGAAGTTCTATTATAATTTTCTTTTGCTTTATTTGGAATACAAAAGAGCAAGTTTATCCTCGAATCTATTTGTGGAGACCTACATTCTACAAAGGAATTAAACAAAGGTATCTCAGGGAGAGATATTCATAAAATATTTAGTTTTTCCCAGTGCAGTTAAATGGATGTCTTTTTAGGACAAGTTCTTGCTTGCAAAGATGATCATAAGGTCAATATCTATTCAGGGTAGAGGAGGGTAGAATTTATTACCTGAAGAAGCTAGAGGGCTATAGGGCCCCTTTTTGGGGAATTTTTTTGAGGAATTTTTTTTTGGTCTCTATAAACAGAGACCAAGAGAAAAAGGGGACCTTGGAATTCTAGAGTGATAGGGAGGCATTTTGGAACAGAAAGAAAGATCAAAGGGGAAGTCTTAGTTAGGTAAGAGATGGGAGGTGTATTAATGGGAGTGGGGAGGTCAGGCAGCTTTCGTCCAAGTGAAAATATGAGGGGGTATGAGCCTGGACAAGTAGATCGGAGGTGGTAGTGATGAACTTGCACTGATATGCCAGGGATGTAGAACATTATTGGTGGAGGCAGTAAGTGAAATCTTTTAGTAAGAATGAGATAAAGACATTTCTGATATAGGAATATCAACATGACCACATGTTTTAGTTGAATTGAGTGTGTGAAGAAAATATGGACAACATATTTTAGAATCAGATGGCAAGACTGGATGGAGAAAATCATACTTGCTTTCTCTATCCTAATGTCTTTCATCTTTACCTAAGGAAAGGATTCACCTGGAAAGCTTATTAGACAGGTTACCAAGATTCTGCTCTGCTAATTATAACCTCAGTAGGTCTGGGATTTGTCATTTTTAAAATGGCTCTATGTGAGTATATCTTCAGACAACTTGAAAATACTTTCAGGGAATGTTGGACTGACCAGATGAAAAACCACATGTGACAGTATGAAAGAAAAAAAAATTGCACTGGACAAAGTTAAACAGGCAGTGAAGACTTTATTCAAAGCTATTGTGGTAGGGGAGAGAAATGAGAACTCAGTCTGAACTTACCTCTGCTTAAACAAAAGGGAGGAAGAAAATACTAGAGTATAATACTTTATGGGAGAGAGAGATCAGTGGCAGGTGCAGAGCACATTGACTTGTTCCCGAGTTTGTAAATGTTTACCTCTGTGATTTGGCCACCTGTGTTGGCTAATTGGTGCCCACCAAATAGAGATGCCATCCTTCCAGCTGATTACATTTCTAAGAGATGGCTTCCAATCCTTGAAAAACATACTGCTGCGTTGTGAAAGTGTGAGAGTCTGGGAGATGATTTGCCTCTCAAAGGGGACGAAAAAGAATTTACAATTACATTTTCTGAACTAAGTGACGTATGAAGAGGGAAGTTGGGGACCTGCAATTAGAAAGAAACATGTCCAAAGGTTAGTCAAGCTGACAGGAACATTAAGGATGTCTTGGTCAAGGGTAAGGTACTGTCACTTGTACTACTGTCTTCAGGGTGGATGACACCTGATAGAGAGTGGAAAGAATCAATATTAAGAATACTAGGAGGGAAAAAAATCAACATACTTCCTAACCTAATGTTGGGAATTAATTGGAGAGGGGAATACAGAAAAGTGAGCAGCCAATGTCTAGCTCACTAGGCAGAGAGAGAATGAAGGTGCATTGATAGAAAGGGAGTTTCCAGTTGGCAGGCAGAGTGCTGGTGCCAAATGACCCAGGTCAACTCGGTAAAGCATAACTCCTAGTTTCCTTTGACAGAAACAGGACCTTATAGTCAGTGCCAGCAGTTGAGAGAGAGAGAGAGAGCAAAAGCGAGAAAGCAGCAGGGCTGTGGAAGCCTCCTCTGGAGCGTAGTCCTTTCTGACAGAGCCTGCAGAGCAGCCTGGGCAGTGCATTTGTGATTAGCATCCCGTGTCAGCTTCACCTAAGTCACACCACCTCCCCCACACACACCACACACACAGGCACCCTTATGTGTACTGAAGTATTTTCAAAGTAAATTACAGGGATTTTAGCAGCTGAGTTTCATGGGAAACTGATGACTCCCATTTAGCACAAGCTGTATTAGGAAATTTTCGGAAACCCAGAGTGAAGAGGACAGCCTCTGGGGAGTGGTCTCTGAAGAGAAGACAACTGCAACCGTGGGAGTGGATAAGGTATCCCCAAACTTATTTCGAACTTAGGACAGTGATGTGTCTTACCTTTTTTAAGAGAGCATAAAGGGGGAAAATAGAGAGCTAAGAATTCACAGTCCTCTTAAGCAGGGGAGGATGGGCCCAGCGTTTCCTGCTCCAGCTCCGCGAGGTCCGCGGTGCTGTGAAAGGTCCAGCTGAAGTGCTCATGGAGCACCAGCAAAGACAGGCGTCAGTAAAGTGGACTGGGGGATCACATGCAGGATTTAAGAGTGAGCGGTAAGACAGAGAAAGACAAATACCACATGGTTTCCTTAGACGTGGTACCTAAAAATCAGAATAAATGAACAGATGAAACAAACAACCAAAAATGTGAGTGGTAGAAAAGAAACCAGGAGGGCAGATAGAAGTCTGGCTTTGAAAGAAAGATGTATACAGAGAGCAGGAAAGTCACAGGATAAAGTTACTGGAGATGTATGAAATTAATGTGTTTTTGCTTTTTTCTAGTTACTTTTTTTAGTGGTCAGAAATGAGTGAACAATCGGAAAAAAACAATTCCACTGAAGAGGGACACACAGGTCCTGAGAAAAACTGTCAAATCGGACAAAAGCAACTGGTATGGCATATGGATATTACGATTCCATGGTATTTGGGGAGTTCCCAGCATGGGGGTCTCGGAGGTCCCAGATTTGGGAGAGGAGGGGGGCCCAGTCAGGACTCCTCAGGAAGGATTTCTGCCTCCTCCCCACACTGGGGCGTCTTTCCCTCCTCTCTACTCTGCTTGCTGCTAAGCTGTCTCACTTCGCCCAGCTCCTCTGTGCCTCTCAGTCTTCTGATTTTTAGCCCAGTTACTATGCCCTTGGAATAGAGTGTTTTACAGAATATGGTCAAGTGTTTTTATTTAACAAACCTTTGGGGTTTTTTTTCCCCTATTACGTACTAGTCATGGTCCTAAAACTTTGTATATATTAATTCACCTAATCCTTATCACAATACTATTGTAACTGCATTTCACAAAAGGAGAAACTAGGCCTAGGGAAGCAGGAACTGGCTCATGGCACACCATTACCAAGTGGTAGAGGCCAGATTAGAACATACATAGGCTTACCCTGCTATCTATATTCTTAAACTCTACCTATGCTACTGAAAATAGTAATAGATGAAAATAAGTGTACTCATTTCACAGCTATACCTAAATACAGAATTGTTTCATGAGGTTAAGTTTGTAAAACAAATCCATACACACATCCCAAATGAAATTTTAAAGATTTTATACTATTTATATTTCTAATATATTTATACTATTTTGGACTGATTAGACTATTATTAAACTAAATAAACTATAGAAAAGCCTGAAATTCTGTTACTAATTTTTCACATAAAGTTCATATATTGAAAGATTTCCTTTTGTTTCCAGTATAGTATTTCATGTATATAGGGGTTGGCAAAAGTAGGTTTACAGTTCTGAGTATGTGAAACAAAGTTTACTCTTGTATTATTATTTATTAATTATTGTATCATTTTCTTTTTTCTTTTACCATACGTAGTTACAGAATTTTAATTTCTTTTTAAACTGAATTTATTGGAGTGATATTCCACAAAAATTATATATGTTTCAGGTGTACAATTCTATAATACAACATTCATATATTGGAGTGTGTTCACCACCCCAAGTCAAATCTCTTTTCATCACCATTTATACACCCTTTACTCTCTTACACTACCTCCTACCCCTCCCCTTCCCTCTTTCCTTCTGGTAATCACCATGCTCTTGTCTGAAACTATGAGGTTGGTTTTTGGGGTTCTTTTTTTTTTTTTTTTTTTTTTTGCTTATGCTTAATCCTTTCATCCTTTCTACCCAGATCTGCATAACTTCTCCCCTTCCTGCTACTATAGAGAATTTATTTACCAGTTCTAGTAGTTTTTGGTGGAATCTTTAGGGTTCTCTATATACAGTTCATATCATCTGCAAATAATGACAGTTTTACTTCTCCTTTTTAATTTGTATGCATTTTATTTCTTGTTCTTGTCTGATTGCTGTGGCTAGAACTTCCAGTACTATGTTGAATAACAGTGGTGAAGGTAGTCATCCCTGTCTTGTTCTTGATCTTAAAGTAAATGTTTTTAGTTTTGCCCATTGAATATGATATTGGCTGGGGTTTTGTCATAATGTCCTTTGTTATGTTTAGGTATGTTCCCTCTATTTCCACTTTGCTGAGAGTTTTTATGATAAATGGGTGCTGGATTTTACCAAATGCTTTTCCTGCCTCTATTGATATAATTATGTGATTTCATCCTTCATTTAGTTTATGTGGTGTATCACATTTATTGATTTGCAGATAATTGTACTAAATTTGCATCCCTGGAATAACTCCCACTTGATCATGGTGTATGATCTTTTTGATGCATTGCTGTATTTGGTTTGCTATTATTTTGTTGAAGATTTTAGCATCTATGTTCATCAGGGATATTGGCCTATGATTTTCATTCTTTGTAGTATATTTATCTAGTTTCTGAGTTAGGATAATGCTGGCTTCATTAAATGAGCTTGGGAATCTTCTTGAATTTTTTCCCTCCTTCTTGAATTTTTTGGAATAGTTTGAGAAGGATTGTTGTTCATTCTTCTTTGAATGTTTGGTAAAATTCACCTGTGAAGCCATCCGGTCCAGGACTTTTGTTTGTGGAAGTTTTTAAAAAAATTACTGCTTCTGTTTCACTAGGTGTAATCTATTAAGATTCTCTGATTCTTCTTGATTCAGTTTTGGGAGATTGTATGTTTCTATAAATTTATCCATTTCATCCAGATTGCCAATTTGTGTTTGGTACATAGTTGTTCCATAATATGTACTTCTTACAATCCTGTGTAATTTTTTTTGATGTCAGTTGTTACTTCTCCATTTTCATTTCTGATTTTATTTTTTGGGGTCATCTCTTTTTCTTGGTAAGTCTGGTTAAAGTTTGTCGATCTTGTTTATCTTTTCAAAGAATGAGCTCTTGGTTTCATTGCTTTCTTATTGTCTTTTATTTTACTCTATTTCAGGTATTTCTTCTCTGATATTTACTATTTCTTTTCTCCTACTCATTTTGGGCTTTGCTGTCCTTTTTCTGGTTCCTTTCATTGTAAGTTTAGATTGTTTATTTGAGATTTTTATTGTTTCTTTAGGTAGGCCTCTAATGCTATGAATTTCCCTCTTAGGACTGCTTTCACTGTGTCCTATAGATTCTCATTTTCATTTGTTTCAAGGTATCTTTTGATTTCTTCTTTTATCTCATTGTTAACCCATTCATTGTTTAGTAGCATGGTATTTAATGTCCATGTCTTTGTTTTACAATTTCTCTTCTTATGATTGATTTTTAGTTTTGTCATTTTGGTCAGAAAATATGCTTGATTTGATTTTAATCTTCTTAAACTTATTGAGACGTCTTTTGTGACCTAAAATGTGGTCTATTCTAGATAATGTTTCACATACATTTGAAAAGAATGTATAGTCTGTTACTTTGGGGTAAAATCCTCTAAAAATATCAATTAAATACATCTGATCTAGTGTGTCATTTAATACTGCTATTTCTTTTTGATTCTCTGTCTGAAATATCTATCCATTGATGTCAATGAGGTATTACTGTCCGTCTCTCCCTTGATGTCCATCAAGATTTGTTTTACATATTTAGGTGCTCCTATGTTGGGTGCATAAATGTTTACAAGAGTTTTATCCCGTTGTTGGGTTTCTCCCTTTATCATTATATAGCGTTATTTTTTGTCCCTTACTATAGCCTTTGCTTTAAGTTGTATTTTGTCTGGTATACGTATTGCTACCTCAGATTTTTTTTTTCATTTTCATTTGTATGAAATATCTTTTTCCATCCGTTTACTTTTAGTCTGTGTGTATCTTTCATTCTGAGATAGGTCTCTTGTAGCAGCATGTATATATAGATGTTGTTTTCATATCCATTTAGCTACTTATGTTTTTGATTGGAGTATTTACGCCATTTAGATTTAAAGTGATTATTGATAGGTATGTATTTATTATTAGTATTTTATTCTTTATAATTCTGGTCCTCTATTTTCTTTTTCTTCTCCTTCATTTTAAAGAAGATGCTGTAACATTTTTTTTATGTAACAGTGGTTTGGAAGTAACAAACTCCTTTAGCTTTGTCTTGTCTAGGGAACTCTTTTATTTCTCCTTTAATTTTAAATGATAACCTTGCTGAGTAAAGTAATCATGGTTGAAGGCTCTTGCTTTTCATCACTTTGAGTATTGCATGCCAATTACTTATATCTTGAAATGTTTCTGTTGAGAAATTAGTTGACAGTTTTATAGGAGCACCCTTGTAGGTACATTTTTCTTTCTTCTTTTAAAATTCTCCCTTTGTCTTTAACCTCTGCCATGTTAATTTTGATGTGTCGTGGTGTTGGCCTCTTTGTGTTCATCTTTTTTGGGACTCTCTGCACTTCCTGACGTGTATGTCTTTTTCCTTCTCCAGGTTAGGAAAGCTTTCAGTCATTATTTCTTCAAGTAAATTCTCAATCCCTTATATTCTCTCTTCTCCTTCTGGTACCCCTATGATGCTGATTTTGTTATGCTCATGCTATCCCAAATTTGCCTTAAGCTATCCTCATCTTTTTCAATCTTTTTTTTTTTTCTTTTTGCTCCGCTGATTGGGTGTTTTCTACTACCTTGTCTTCCAAATTGGTGATTTGATCCTGTGCTTCATCCACCTTATTGTTTATTCCTTCTCATGTATTCTTCATTTCAGGTATTGTAGTCTTTGTTACTGAGTGAATTTTTTAAGGTTTCTTTGTCCTTATTATGCTTGCTATCTCTTTATTGAAGTTGTCGCTAAGTTCCTTGAGCATCCTTATAACCATTTTCTCAAACTGTGTTATCTGGTAAATTGCTTGCCTACATTTCATTTAGCTTTTTTTCTGGTGATTTCTCCCATCCTTCCACTTGGGTCATGTTTCTTTGTTTCCCCATTTTGACTACCTCTTTGTGTTTGTTTATACACAAGATTAGGTAGATCTGCTGTGACTTCCAGTTTTTGTAGGGTGACCTTATGTTGTAGGTGTCCTGGCAGGCCCAGTGGCACAGTTTCCTTGATCACCAGAGCTGGGTGCTCCAGGAATTATTCTTGTGTGGATTATGTGGCCTCTCCTGTTGTACTTGAGTCTTGATTTCTATTGACCTTTCCATGTGTGGGATTGACATAGAGTCTGGCTGACTCTAAGGACTGACTTATACTTCAGTGTGCGAGCTGCTGTGCAGGTGCTGACCACACAAAGCAGAATTCACTTCAGCAGGGTCTAGCACTTGTCAAGATCTTCTTTTGGATATGCTGCACTTGAAACTATTTGGATTCTGCCCTGATTTTGTTCGAAGCTGGTCCCTGGGTATGTTGATTCTGGGGTCTCTCGGGATTGGCTCTGGTGCAGACCAATGTCAGATGCTGCATGTAGCTGGCATTGGACAGCCTGTTTGAAGCTACAGAGCGATCCACAGTTTGTGGCTGCCTCTGCTTGGCCTGAGTGTGTATGAAGAACCAAGCTCTGCACCAAGGACAGTTTTTACCAGCACCTGGCCTGTGGGCAGGTCAGCAAAAGTCCCAAGTCACCCTGCATCTGCCTCTGGCTGCCTCGATCTCTGCCTGCCTCCCCAGTTGTTTGCTGCCTGTTAGGCTCAGTCACTGAGGGAACCTTTGATGATTCTTGAGTCATATGAGGTAGGTTCTCAGTGAATCACCAGGTAGGGGTGAGTGGTGTTCACCAGACTGACACAGCTTCAAACTCAGTGCCACTCAGTAAATCGCCCAGGGTATACCAAGTCTAGTTGCCACATACACACCTTTGTGGTAGGTTGGAATCTGAGGGAGTGGTCAGGGTAAGGCCAGTAGAATTTATCAGTCCCAAACAGACCAAGATTTAGCCACGTGAAGGTAGGGCTCTGTACTGCTTGGGTGTATAAGGGAGAAATGACCCCTGTCCTGGAGCCATACTACTCAGCCTTTTCCAGATTCTTCCTGGAGCCTGATCTCAGCAAGGCAGCAATGGGAGTCGGGAGGATGGGACTAGTAGATCAGGAGGAATTGCTGGTCAGGCTTGGGAGAAGGTGGAAGAAGCGGTCCCTGCCCCAGAGCCACACCTCTCAATCTGTCCTGGATTTTGCCTAGATCTTGGCCAGGTGGAGCCACCAGATTCCGGAATTTTGGGCCGCCAGGAGCCTGGAGAGTGGGAGTAGCAGATCTCCTGTGTGGGGGAGGTGCCAGTCAGGTTCAAGGGAAAGTGGGGGGATGTCCCCCACCTCAAAGCTACAGAACTCAGTCACTGACACCTCCTGAGTCTGCCCTCTACGCTGTGGTCCAGGCAGCTGTTTCCTCATCAAGGCACACGCTCTGCGGGGTGGGGTGATAGGGAGTCCAGGTGGCGGATCTATTTCTTTCCCCCAAGCTGATGCCTCTTGGAGGGGAGTGCTCCACCCAAGAAAGATGGTGTTTGTGGTGCGGCAGAGGCACTTAGGTCAGGGATTCTGACTGCTGTCTTTTCAGCTCTCTCCCCGGAGATACAAACCCGAGTCCTTCCTCCTATGACTCTAGTGCTCTCTGCCCTCCCTTTGCTGGAGCCCGGGGTGAGTGGCTGTGCATGAGATTTGTGTGTTGGCCCGTTAAGCAGGCAACCGAGCCTCTAGTGGACTCCTGTCTCTCCCTGGTAGTGTGAATCCCCACTGATTTTCACAGCCCAATGTTATGTAAGGGCCTTTTCCCAGCTCTGGTGCTCTGACCTGGGGAGCCTGGCTTGAGGTTGAGAACCCTACTCTCCTCAGGGGAAACCTCTGCAGCTGAGATATCCCTCTGGAATCTCAGCTGCCACCTATGGGAGTGAGGTCAGCCCTATTTGCATCTCTGACCTTTATACCAGTCTTGATGTGACTTCTGTAAACCTTTGGTCATAAGACTTCTCAGCTAGTCCTCAGTTGGCTATCAGGTTCATTGCTTTGTATTTTAGTTATAATTCCAGTTTTGTCCTGAAAGGAAGTGATTATAACATCTACCTAGTCTGCCACCATCTTGAATCTCTCCTATTTACTATGTGTTGTATCATTGTCCATACTAACAACTGTAAACCTACTTTTTCTAGTCCCTCTTTATTAGCCTATATATTTTTGGGCCACTCAGGTTGCATTCTTCTAAAACCCTTCAAAAGAGCATTTTCTTCCCTCATGACACATGTGCTATGTGTTCAAAATAAGTTATCAGGGTCGGTTGAAACATCTTCATTACTTGTCCTCCCGATTAGGCCCCATTTAATTTAGAATATCCCTAGAGACTTTTGAAAATTTACACTAACACTCTAGAAAGCCATTCTAACAAGATTTTCTTCTTCGAATTGGGGATTTGACTGAGAGTATAAACTTCAGTTGGCAGTGTTCTGCAGCAGAGCGCGGATGGAGCCCACACTGCCAGGGTAGTAAGCAGCTCTGAAACGCCCCACAGCACTGAAGGGGAGGCTGTGTGCACTGGGCTCTCTGTGATGTGACACACTTTCCCTGGGCGTCCTCAGCTAACAACTGTGGCAGGGCCTTTTCTCCTTTGTCCTTCTCCACTGTGAAGTGCTCGTTCTGACTTTCATCCCTGTGATATTTGAGAAGCTAACTGGTGTTTTGTAGGTATAAAAAGAATCCTATTTTTATTTGGTTGTTTTTTACATTTTTATTGCATAAGTTTTACACTATAGACTTCTTTTGTTCAGAAAGACTGACCTAAACTGAGGAAATTTACATCATCTTTTGAAACTTAAACAGATGAAACTGGTTCTTTCTTCCGGTTAAATAGTATTTATCCTTTCCTGCCATTATGGTATAAGTTACAGAAAATTTGTTTTGATACAATGTAAAACAGATAAAACCATCCAGTTCTTACAACGAATACATTTTTATTTGTTTCACAGCAACAGATAGAGCGGCAGTTAAGATGCTTGGCATTTCAAAACCCTGGACCACTGGTAGCGGACTTTAATCCTGAAACACGACAGCAGAAAAAGAAAGCACGGATGTCAAAGATGAATGAGTATTTTTCTGTAAAATACAAGTAAGATCCCCATTTATCATATTTGATCTGTGAGATAATAAAATGCATGCATTCTTCTTGACAAAGCAAACTAATTAAAGGTTGTCCCTTGTTTATAATGTAAAAATGTTTTCTAAAGTACAGTATCACCTCATGGTCTGGAAGTTAGTAACTTCAAGAAATAGACTGTAATCCCAAACTAGAAATCAATTTTTAAAAAGGCTACAGAAAAAAAACAGGGCTGCAGTGCAGAAGCCCTTGCATTAGGTAACAACTTTTGTAGGAAAGATTATAAAAGTAAGAAAGAGATAACATTTGAAGGAGAAGTAATATAACTAAGGGAGTGGATTCAGGTGTCAAATAAGTACAATGATTGCTGTGCGTCACAAGTATAAACTAAGTAAACCATAAAGAGAAAGGTTGATAAACTCTACTACATTAAAATTAAGAATTTTATACACATTAAAAGACACCCTAAAAATAATGAGACAGAAGTCACAAGGTAGGAGGAGGCCATAGATAATTTAAAAGGTTAGTATCCAAAATATATGGAGAATTCTACAAGTCAATATAAAAAATAAATTTCCTCTGAGAAAAATGAACTGAACAATGAACAGGCATTTCATAGAAGAAAAGGCTAATAAACACTCAGGATATTGAACCCCATCAGTAATGTATGGAGAAGTGCCCCACTCCCCAGACAGGCAAAGAGTTTAGTCTGATGATATCAATGTTGATGAAGCTATGGGACATGAATTGAGTGTAACATGGCACAACCACTATTTAAAAACAGTTTGGCATTACCTATATAGCTTATAACCTAACATCTTTACTCCTGGAAAAACCATTACACACGTATTGTATAATAGGAGCCATGTTCAAGAAGTTTCATAGCATCACTGCAGTAACAAAGAAAATAAAGTAGTAATAATCCAAATGCCCAGTTATAATGGAAAAGATAAGTAACTTGTATATTCATTACATTTAGAAGTAAAAATATTTGAATATAGCTACATGTACCATCAGAGATTAATCTCAAATCATGTAATAGATTAAAAAAATTACAGAAGGAAAAATGCAATATGCTTGGGCATATATACACATGTAGCATAACTAAAAATAAAAAGATGATTTGTATAATACTGAGGTGTGGTTCCTCTCAGAGGGCTGGGTAGAAGGATGCAATACGTGGGGCATAAAGAGGACTTCGAAGGTGCAATACCCTTTATTAAGCTGGGCAGTGAACATATAAGTTTGTTTTATATTTCTTTTTTATCTGTGTATGTATGTTTTGTTTACTTTTGTATGTATGATACTTCAGAGTTTTACATAACATAGCATCAGTGGGCAGGAAACTATAAAATCTATCATGATGTCTGAGCTAAGACGAGAGTGTGTTTGGGTTAAGGCCAAGGGAGAGGAACAGGATCCGATCCCTCTTTTGACTTTATGGCCCCCTGCTCCCATTATTCCCATAATAGATTTTAAATTCAGCTGACATCTGAATTTCCTGGTGGGCTTGGGAGGTGGTGGGGGGGCTTCCATTCCACAGAAGAAATGCTTTAAATGTAAATCCTCATTGTAAGGCATTCCACTAAGGTGTGATAACCAGGCAGCAAGTATGCATGGTGATCCTCAACCTTCCCTACTTTATTAAGAGAGGGAAGAGGGTAGAACAACATTACTTACTGGACAGGAAGAGAGGTGTTATGCCTGCTTGGGAACACAGGGTGCAGAAGTTCATAATTTCACAGCCTTTTTTTACTCCATCTGGTAATACTGGATACAGGCTGTACCGAGGCACTTTGAGTATTCTAAGACTTTCAAGTAGCTCAGTTTTGAAGGATTTATTTCAAAATGGTTTGATTTTGAGAGGGTGTTGGAATTTTTGTAAAAGTCATTTTCTTCCCGGATGTGTCATAGAGGCTGACAGAGAAAGTGTTGGAACCTGAAGCAAGGTGTAGACTCAGGTGCTCTTGTCTGGTACAGAATTCTTACCTCTAAATCAGCTTACAGTGGATCCCACCATCTAGTCACCTGTTTTCTTCTTCCACATTGGGTAAAAAACAGCAACAGAATTGTTTATGTATTTACTTTTTTAATGATGATGGTATAGTAACTGAGTAAGTTTTAATGCCTGACATTTAAAAAAAATGTAATTGTATTCACTATAGGACATTTTTCTTAAGAAAGAAAAAAGAATGTGATTTACTAGGGAAAATTCCATCAAGAATGGTTATATTGTAAAGGAAAAATTGGGACATCTGTAGAAGGAAGATTTAATCAGCTATTCCTCATCATTTTCTTGGATGAAATAAGTAAAACATTTATTATTCTCAGTGACAAGACCAGCTGCATTGGAAATTGGTCACATATTGGCAGAATTTCCCAGGACATCATTGCCATCTAATGTTCTGAAGTGGTGCTGGGTAATCTCTAGTGTGTGATTTCCTCTGAGTAAAAGTATCGTATTGATGAAGTTTGCTGCATAATAATTTATCGTCAGCATTGAGGAAAATTTCACTGTCACATTAGCATCATTCTTTTTCTTAGCAGAGTTATGAGGAAGTATGACAAAAGTGGCAAGCTCATCTGTAACGATGCTGATCTGTGCGACTGCCTGGAGAAGAACTGCCTGGGCTGCTTCTACCCCTGTCCCAAGTGCAACTCCAACAAGTGTGGGCCAGAGTGCCGCTGCAGCCGCAAGTGGGTGTATGATGCCATTGTCACCGAATCTGGAGAGGTCATCAGCATGCTGCCATTTAATGTCCCCGACTAGGCTCTGTTAAACATGAATTGATTTGTTTCTTCTTTGCATTTAAGTCAACCCGTTTCTTTTGGTGAATTCTAGGGCTTGGGGGGAAATGTTTGAAAAACATACTTAAGAGTCACGTTCTCCAAAGCTGTAGAACAATGTACAATGTGCAGTCATTCTATAACCTTCTTACGGTGTCCTCTACATTCCTTCACTTGTAACTAAAGAGTGTGACAGTGAGTGGATCTCAGTTTCTCTTCTCAATTCTCCCATCTCTACTCTGCCCTCAAATTAAAAACCTCTTTCTTCTTCACTGGTGTCTGAAAAATGTAATTTTAAGATTTTCAGAATTCTGTAGCTGAGAGTTTTTTTTTAACATAGAACTATAAATTGTGATATCTAGTTACTCTAAGAATCGTACACATCACTTGTTCTAAATCAGAATTGCTATTTGGACTTTAAAAAAAACAAAACTTGTGACTTTGCATTGTATATTCATAGTCTCATTTTATGGTTATTTTAATAATATTAAAATTAAATTTGGTAATAATTTGTAATGTTTTTATTAAAAATTTATATTTCACTTATAAAATTAAGAAATTAGGACTTGCATATCCTAAAAGCCAGTGATTTATATTGTTTTCATTTCAAGCTCAGAACTTCAGAAATTTTTTTCAAAAGAAGAACACTTATTATACAAAAATATGTTCACTGTATGTTTGCTAATTAAAGGTATTGCTATGCAGTTGAATAGATATATGATATGTGTTGTGTGGTTTTTTTTTTTTCAAATCTGGTACATTGTAGGAGGTTTATACAAAGGAAAGTTGAACTGCGGCCTTCTTGGAATTTGTTTCTATAATGCCATTTACCTTAAGGCGGTGGTTCTCATGCCTCAGTGTGCATCACAATCACCCAGAAGACATGTATTATGGATTTTACCACCCCACATCCAAGTCTCACTAGGTCTGAGGCAGGGCTCATGAATCTACATTTCCAAGGTGATGCTGATGCTGCTGGTGACACTTTGAGAACACTTCTTTAAGTTATATTAGATACTTAATATATGGAAGGGTTTAAGTAGATACTTTAATAAAAGTTTTTAAAAATTACAAACAGTATTTAATTTTAAAGTAAAATTTTCAGGGCTTGTTTCTCCTCCACAGTCATTTTTTAAAGCACATATTGCTGCATAATCCACATGTGCCAGGGAAGGTTCCTGCTAATTCTGGGCTTGTTATTAGTATGTTTTGAGACTAAAGTAACAGAATCTTAAAAGTCATGCTATCGCTACAGCACTCCTGTATGTGTAGTAGGAGAACTCATTCTGTTTCCCACAGAATTTACTGAGTTTTCCAGATTCCACTCACTTTTGTCATTTTCACAGAGCCAAACATTGTGCTAGGTGCTTCTGGTTCATTACCATTAACCATCACAGCAACTGTGAGGAAGACAGAAAATCAAATCACCCAAGTCGGGTGCTTCGAAAGCTCACCAGCAATGTGCAGCCCTCAAACCAGTGAAAGCAGTGGGGGCCTTTAGGTTTATGTTTTGTTTTGAGAATAATTGTATTTTATAAATGGCTGACCAAATGAATTGTTTTATTATTCATTTTCAATCATTAACGTTTTTATTTTTTTATTTTTAAATCATGTTTATTTTATTACAATTGTCTCAATTTTTCCCCCCTTTGCCTTCCTCTGCCCATCCCACCCCCACCCCCTGCTCCCACAGTCAATTCCCACTCTGTTGTCCATGTCCATGGATCATTCATACATGTTCTTTGTCTAGTCCCTTCCCCTTCTTTCCACCATTGTCCTCTTTCCCCATCCCCTCTGGTCACTTTCATTCTGCTCCATATTTCCATGCCTGTGGTTTATTTTGTTCGTTAGTTTATTTTGTTGAATAGAGTCCACTTATAGGTGAGATCACATGGTATTTGTCTTTCATCAACTGGCTTATTTTACTTAGCTTAGTATTCTCCAGTTCCGTCCATGGTGTCACAAAAGGCAGGAGTTCCATCTCTTTCTCCCACTTCCTTCCCTCCTTCCTTCCTTCCTTCCTTCCTTCAATGCAGATTGATTTTATTTATTTTTTTAATGTCAAAGTTAATTATAAAATATTTAAAAATTTAAAACCATTGTAAAGTTTCAGCAATTAAACCAACATGACATCAGCACAGAAATAATTAAGTAGATCGATGAAATATAATGAGCATTCTAGAGACCAACGTATATATCTAACAATGTAATCTATGATTAAGTTGATATTTCAAATCAATGGTTAGAATAAGGCTTACTCAACATATAAGGTTCATGGACCACTATTACTTGAAATAAAACAAATATAGAGCCCTATTTCACACATTATACAAGAAATATTCAGGTGAGTTAAAAATCAATACGTAGAATCAAAGGAGTTATAGGAGAAAATACAAACTAATATTTTTACTCTGACGTAAAATATTCAAGCCCAGAAGCTATAAAGTAAAATATTGACAATATGACTAATAAACATTTAAGACTGTACAAATATACATATAAAGAAAGTTAAAGGACAAGTAATAGAATAGGAAAGTATTTGCAACACATCTAAAAGGGATAAATTGTTATTTAGTGAAAAAATTGTGCAAACATTTAATGAAAATATGGATAAAGAATACCAGTCATTTAAAGCTTTTTAAAAATAATAGAAATAGGCAAGAAATATACAAAAACAGGTTTAGTTCCAACAAATAATAAAACAATTAAAAGAACACATCATTGTCACAATCAGATTAGTAAGTATGAAACGTATTGGTAATATCAAGTATTAGCAACTGTGAAAGGAACTGGGTATTCATAGACTCTCTTTCTTCATCTTAAAGCAGTCCCTTTAGCATATTTTCCAGTGCTGGTTTGGTGGAGATGTATTCTTTCAGCTGTTTTTAAATCTGGGAAATTCCTTATTTCGCCTTCCATTTTAATAGCCTTGCTGGGTAGAGCAGTCTTGGTTGCAGGCCTTTGCTTTTCATAACTTGGAATATTTCTTGCCATTCCCTTCAGGCTTGTAGGATTTCTGTTGAGAATTCAGCTTCTAGCCGTATTGGGGCATATGTTACTACCTCTTTCTCCCTTGCTGCCTTTAGGATTCTGTCTTTGATATTTGCCCTTTTAATTATGATGTGTCTTGGAGGGGGCCTCATTGGGTTCCTCTTGAGTGGGACCCTCTGCCCTTCCTGGACTTATGTGATTTTTTTTTCTCTCCTCCAATTAAGGAAGTTTTCCATCATTACTTTTTCAAACAGGTTCTCTATCCCTTCCTCATCCTCTTCTCCTTCTGGTATCCCTATTATATGAATTTTATTGCATTTCAGCTTATCCTGCATTTCTCTCAGTGCCTCTTCATTCTTTTTAAGTCTTTTTCCATTTTATTGTTCTTTCTGGGAGCTTTTTTCTACCTTATCCTCCAACTCACTGATTCATCCCCCTGCCTCATCTAGCCTGCTTTTGATTCCTTCTACTGTGTTCAATTCAGAAATTGTATTCTTCATTTCCTCTTGTCTCTTATTGATAGTTTCTATGTCCTTTTTCATGCTGATATAGTTTGCAGTAAGTTCCTCGTAGTTTCCTCGTAGTTTTTTGTAATTCTGAGCTCACTGGGCTCATTGAGCTTCCTTAGAACCATTGTTTGGAACTCAATATCTGATAGTTGACTTTCCTCTATTTCATGTAGTTCTGTTTGTGGGGATTCCTCCTTTCCCTTCGAGTGGGGGGTATTTCTTTGTCTTTCCATTATTTTTAAGAGTGTTCTTTTTTGCTTCTGCTTCTTCAATGATCTGTCTTGATTTCCTTGCTTTGTGGTGTGAACTTCTTTGGTGGGAGACCGCTGTTTCTACTTTCTGGATCTGCCTCTGATAATGTCCGTTGTTGTCCCTACCCGAGGTTAGGCAGTCTGTTCGAGACTTCTAGGAGTCTATTGTCTGTGGCTCTCTCCTTCAGCTGTTAATCTAGTCACGCTGCACTCAGCAGGCTGCTTAGACAGCACAGAGCAGGGTGGAATCACACCTGGGGGCAGGGCTTTTGGGTCCTCTGATGCTGCTGCTCGGGGGAGTGGTCTCTGTCTGAGCAAGATGGCTGCTGCTGCGTACGGGATGAGTCAGCACTGATATCCCGCTGGCTACTCTGTCAGTGCTCTTCCCAAAGCCTCCCTCCCCAGTCCTCAGGTGTCTCCAGCCCACTCTGCCCCCACTTTTGCCGGAGACCAGGGTAAGTGGCTGCAAATAAAAATTTATGCGTTGGCCCTTTAAACGGTTCTTTGTGTCTGCAGCTGTCTGTCTCTGGCAGAGAGCAACCCTACTGCTTTTCGCAGCTGGCTGTTTTCTGTGTACTTTTTGGGCTCTGGTGTTGTAGGCTGGAGATCCCAGCTTATGGTTTAGACTCTGCTCTTCTCAGAGGGATCCAGCTGGCCGTTTCAATATTCATCTGGTGCTGCCACCCATGGGCTCCCCACCCACCTTCTTGCGTTTCTACCGTACTCCTTACCAGTTAGATTGCACTAAAGCCGATTCTTCTGTCTCCAGGGTTATAAAGCTCCTCTCTCACTATTGTTCAGTTATTTGTTCCAGGTGATTTCTCCAGAATTAGTTGTAATTCCAGGTTGGTCCTGGAAGGAGGACAGTGTGACTTTTACTCCTCTGCCATCTTGATACACAATCATTAATTTTTAAAATTGACAGTAATCTTACAGGTTGTCTAAATAGCAAATTAGTCAACAAATACTAACAAAGAGGCTGCTCTGTACCAAGCACCAGGCCAGGCACAGGGGATCAAGCAGTGAGCCAAACCAGGCTGCTTCCTATCTTCACAGGTCTATAGACTAAAACCAGTCTTTTTGTTTCACTTCTGCAACTGAGGAAATTTAGATCCAATGACATGGAATGACTTTGTTAAGGACAAAAGGAAGAGCCGGCAACCCTGGTGTTTTGAACCCTATGACTAGGTCATTGTTCCCTCCATGACACCAAGCATTTCCCAAACTTGCCT